GAGTCCTACTTGGACCCCATCAGCATTTACCTACAGATAACTATATAGCTGTAGATAATCATTACCTATACTGTTTAACATGCACGTGACTGCTTGGGAGATCCCAGTACCATTCCAAAAAGTGGAGCAATGGATTATTCTGGTATATTTATTTCCCCAATTAGTCCTGACTCGCAGTTTAGGACCTCTTATTGGAGGTGACTACCTACCTGAACTCTGTGCCCACTAGATGCCTGGATTAGACCAACTATAGTGTCCGGTTTATCCCGAACACATTTTGATCTCCATGGACGCCGATTCAAAGAGTATCAATCACGAATTATCTATCAACCAGGCTAACCTAAATTCAATCCCTCACACGTATATGTATGCTACTAATATGTACTGTATGTACAAATGACCTATCGCTAGCAAGTTATTGATCCAAAACCCAAACTTAGTATTGATACTGTACCTCAGACTTATTCTGAACTAAATTACGCGATTCTTCATATACTCGCCCCATAAGCTGCAGTATCGGTGGCTTTGCATCCCCATTTCGCACCAGATGGATGCCTACTCAGTAGTTACCAGGCCGACCATCTGTGCCAGACTGATTGCACCTCACGACTGAAGCTATTCCGGCGGGTACTAGAAAACTCATGGAGCGTCTCCGGATCTGCGTGCGATGTAAATAGTGTTCATATTTACGTACCTGGTGGACTCCTTACATTTTCAACTGGAGTTCATATGACTTTATGGGCAGGCAGTAGACTTCTTATTCTCGTACATTTGTAGTAAAGGGATTAGGGCACTAATTTGAAAGCTTGAATAAGTATGCTTTCTCTCTCTCGGCTGCTAGCTCTTCTCTGGAAGAGAGAAAATTCTTATTGATATTCCCTCCAAGTTTCATGAACTCACGCCCCTCCTGCAAGTCACAGTACAATTTTCTCCGCTTGTGTGATAAGCATACATAACTTTTTCCCCAAGCGCTGATACACTCAAGAACATGTCATAACAGTGCATCCCACACAGAGGTACCGATTTCAAAATCACAAGTGTACCAGCAAAACCTGGTTGCATCCACCTACTTAACGTACCGACGAAGTACTGATTCATGCGCATCCGACTAACCTTACTGTCTACATTCTCCCACGAAGTCTGCCGTCTTCAACTTTTTTGCGCTCTGCCGACATGCCTACCTCTCGCTGTCAGTTTTGCCGAAAAACAAGTCTTGCCTCAAATCCTTCAATAACTGCCCGAACCGCTCCGCCCAATTTGCCGTCTAACCTCCTTACTGAGAGGCTACACGTATATGCTACTACTACCTGACCTGGTGGTCGATCACCGCGACCTTTACCAGCAATCGCTCGGGAGGTGATGTACCAGACTCGGGCTGGGTCCCGCGGCCATGCACACGCTGGCAGACATCAATACGGGGAGACACTGGGAGATGGTAATGAGTCCGGATGTCTGCTCATTAATCCGCGTGGATCAAGATGATGTCGATGTTGCAGGGATGCATGTGTATTGCTGCATGTCTGACAATACCATGTAACTACTCCGTACCTACTGTACTTTATTGGAATGATGATTCTACATACAACGGTGGGTCGCACCTGGTTCTTTTACTTCCAGTAGTTAGCATTAGCCACCTCACGAGTCTTTTTCCCACGCACTTGTTGCTGCGCCGATTCATTGGTCTGACAAACGCCACGATGTATACACGCCGATGTCTTGGACCTATAATTAACAAGCGGTTCCCAATGGCGGAAACATTTGCTGAGTAAATAAACAAACACTTAATTACCCCCCGTCCAATAAGTATTCTGCAGTACGGCAGAGCCGTGCTACTCCCCCCCCGGCCTAGCGCAAGCCATGGCTGTACCCGACCTCGAAGCCCTCCGCTCATCTGTTGCCTGAATGACGACTGCGCCCCAAATAGAATCAAGCCAGGTTATTGCTATTGCTTCTCCCACCACCGCGACGGGCTCAGGCTGACTCGAATAGCGGAGCCGCAGCTTGAGCGACAGGTTTGCTACGACGGCGGTGGAGGTGCAGCGGCTGAAGCAATAGGCTTTACCTGCGCTTAAGCCTGAGCCGGAGGGGCGGGCTCCTGGGACTCGAGGCAGGACTTCAATAAGATCAGCAGGCGTCGCCATTCAGCCAACCTGCCGGTATCGCCGCGAGTCACCACAAATCGAAAGATACCGCTGTTTCAGATGTTTCAATAAACGTCCCCGAGCCCATTGACCATTGACGCCCTCAATACAAAGTTTATCGCACAACAATAGGCCTTTTAGCGCCGGGGCAGCCAAACCTTGTGTCTATTGACACTCGGAAACGTGGTAGGGCGTGCGGATCCCCCGTGGTGGAGCACTCGGCAGGCCGAACAGACTCGATAAAGCGCTCCTCCCTCCCTCTCTTTCTCCTCCTCCCTTCTCCACCAACAAGCAAGCACAGCCTCGAGCTCCCATCAGCAGCCTCCGTCTCATTGTCTTTCTCCCTACCACCTTCGAAGCTTCCACAGCGGCAGCATCCCCCTCCCCCCCTCCCCCACAGCTTTCACAACCGCAACCAAAATGCGTAAACACATCCTACCCTCCGCCCGCAAGTCCGAGCCCACCTCCCCCACCCAGATCTACCCCGTCCCCGCCAACCACGTCGGCGCCCCCTCCCTCTTCCAACTCGCGACGAAGCTCCTCATTAAACGAGTCCACGGTACAGCCCCCCCCTCTCACTCCCCAAGTACATGGCATTTGCTGATTCTTATACAGAAATCGACAGCGTCGGGCCCCTCCTCTTCCCGCACGTCGAGCCAATCCTCCGGAATGTTAAATACGCCCCCCAGCTCCGCCTCATCGAGCAAAACTCCCCACAAGTCGCAGGAAAGCTCCCCGAGCTCTGGAAGTTGTTTATTGCAAGAGACTTTGGTGCCGACCCGGAGAAATACTTCCCAGAGAATCCGAAGAATTGGCATAAAATTTACGCTGTATGTTCATCTTCCTCCTCTCCCCATCCTCTACACACTCGTAATTTTGGAAAAAACTACTAACACCCCGTAAATCCACAGAAACACGGCCGCGAATTCGACGACGCAACGTCCTCCGCCGCCAACCAGCTCAAAGACCAACTCTCCGCCCTCTCCGCCCAAAAAGCCAAACTCCGCCCTACAGAGCTCACCGGCTCCGCTGCAGCTCGCCTCGCTCCTAAACCCTCCTCCTGGGGGTCTGGTTGGGGTCGCAGTGGCTGGGCAGTCTCCGGAGACGGCTGGAACACAGCACACGGGTCTAAGACAAAAGACGTTATGAGAAGAATAAAGCGTGAGGTGGGGAATAAAAAGAGGAAGTTGACTACGCCTACGCATGAGTTGAATGCACGGAGGGGAGGGGGGTGGGGAGGTGGGAAGGGGGGGCTGAATAGGGAGATGGTGGAAAAGTTGAGGAGGGATGCTACAATGGTTGTGTCCGGGGGCTTAGTTGAAGAAAGGAAGAAGATGGATACGGAGGAAGAGAGAGACAGAAGGTTTAGGATGGAGACTGCGAAGAGGTTGGGTGAACGGAGGATTAGTAGTTTGAGCATTAATCCCCTGGGGCCGACAGGGGTGGTCAAGAGGCCGAGTGCGCCGGTTATTTCAAAGACCCCAGCACCGTTACCGAGTAGAGCACTGGTGAAGAAAGGTCCTGAGAAGTTGATGCAGCCACCAAAGCTGTCGCAGTTGACGAGGAGATGGGGTAATCCGGTTACCGCAGGAGCAGCAGCAGCAGCAGGACTTTCTTCCTTCGGACCCTCAATAAATACAAATACGGCTACAAATCGCACAATATCCCTCGCCTCAGCAGCTCAACCACAAGGAATTCGCAAACAACAATCACCTCCACCATCAACAGCTGCTCGCACAAATACCTCCCCAGCAGCCTCGTCCGCCTTCCTAACCAGTCTTAGAAAACTTGCCAACTCCACCTCCGCCGCGGAATCCTCCTCAACCTCGTCCGGGCCTTCATCTCGACCTCAGCCAACAGACAGCCTCCTCGATCCCCTCCACGTTACCACCAATAATACCACTAATATCAACCGCAACACCACCAAGGGTAGTAATTCAACCGAAAGCCGCAATAACTGGCCCGGAATGGGCAAGCCACAGAAGAAGTTGATTCCCATAGTGAGGCCGAGGAGGGAGCCGAATTTGTTTGTTGTGAGGAAGCCTGTGAGATCTGGGGCTGGAGTGGGGGCTGGAGAGGCTGGGAGCGGAGTTGGGGCAGGCAGGAGTGGAGCAAGGGGGGGGAGATAGGGGTACGTGAGGAAGTGCAGGATGAGGTTGCGAGACGAGAGAAGAGGAGAGGAAATAAGGTGTCTAATTGTGTTTTATTCTACTGTTATCTCGATTCTAGCTTTTTTCTTAGGCCCGCTCCCGCTTTTTCTTGCACATACTTACTCTGCTTACAATCCTGGCTTATTAACTATAGATTTGCTTGTACATATTAGCTGCCTCTACCCCTACCCCTACCCACCTACCTGTGCTTCTCGATCTCATACTCATCCCTTTACCCAATTTTTACAGACCTGTGCACAGGAGAACGGCAAGGTGGTTTTGGGGGGGAATGGTGTCGGAAGTGGGGTTTGCCGGAGTTACTTGCGCTAGAGCCCGGTGGTGTTTTTGCTTGGATTGATTTCATTGTAGTCTTGTTGGAGTATATATTCAGTTTTGCGGATTTCCGTTGCATAAGTATTTACTTGGCTTGCTTGCTTCTGCTGTGTGACCACAGCCATGTGTAATAATATGTAGTCGGACAAAGATATTTACGCGGCGGCTTGAGTTGGGCATAGTTTGATTGGAAAGGAATATTGGTACAATATCGTGCCCGCCCAGACTATACAACATCTTAGTCTCGCAGATGGGTTCAAGGCACAGTCTCGGCTTAGCGTACTATATGTCACAAAAGTCAACTCCCTGTCTTGAGAGCTCTTAGCAAAAAGAGATTTTAAGAAAAAAATTCTATATTATATTAAATTGTTACTTACACCCATCACGGGGATCGAACCCGCAACCTTCGCCTTAGGAGGGCGACGCGCTACCATTGCGCCAAACGGGCTATTTTAATGTTAATTATTAAGGCAAATAAAAATATTAGACACCAAGCTTACTTAAACTTATAACTGTAGATCTCTGCGTTCCCTTACACATTACTGAGTAATTGTCCACGCAAAGGATTGCGGTGCTGGATAGCTTGTTTAAATCTCGTTATAATATACCTTCTTGATGCCTGGTACAATCTCGTCCAATGGAGGACAGCACCCCCCTCCACTTCTATATCTGGGTGATTCCTGTCGACATGTCCATATATTGTCGATATCTCATGTACGTCGAGGGTTCGCCTTGCCGGTTGAGACATTGCCTGAGACACGCAATATCCTGCCAGGCATATGTAGGATGTCCAAAGAAATGCAGCAGTCGAGTTCCTATCCCCTGCCAGACAAACCCCTGAAGGTAGGGCATGGGCCGCTACATGCATCACATCGATTGTATACTGTACATGTATGCGGAATCTGTATCATATACTCAGTAGCTGTGAGAAACTGCATATGCAAGATATGGTTTATGCGGCTGCGCGCTGGCGTCCAACAATGTAGGGGGCTTCTAGCCACCTGTATCTCGGGGGTTGTGGGTACTTTGCCGGACCATAGGGTTCCATTTTCTCTCTGCGTGCAAGTGTACGGCTGAAAAATTAACTTACATCCACTCGGGTTTCATTCTATGGGACCGTATATGAGTAGGGACTAATTTTTGTAACAAAAAAAAGAAAAAAAAAGAAAAAAAGAGCAGGGGGTCTATCAAATAGGCCCGCTGGGGTGAAATCGGTGCTTTGTCTGCCTTGTCGGTGTGCTGGATCCTGATCATGAATTAAAGTAGCAAAGATGGAATACTAAACTTGTCATTGTCCGGACGCAACAAGGTTTCATAATCCTCCCTACATTAACTCGCATTGCGTAGATCGCCTATGCTCGTTCACAGGACAATTGTGTACGTTAGATATGCGGCTATAGCTCTAATTAATAACTGACCAATGGCTTGGCGCCAAAATGTATTTCGGAAGTATCTCCAGCTTCCGGAACTTGAAAAGGCAAATACCACCGGCTTTATTAAGCGCAATCATTCCAGTGTTATTCCACAAGCATTCTATACTATAGTATTATTGTCTACTTTACAACTCGTTGCTAGGAGGGTGAATTTTTCTCCGCTTGACCGCCCTGAACTAGATTATCGCCCTATATGAAGGCAAATACTTTCAGCTGAAATTTGGCCTATTTCGCTAGTGGAAAGTAAGGTTGCAGGAAGCGGATACCTGTAACTCTTGAGATCCTGACTATAGATATTTTTTTGGTCAACAATATTGAGCAATTTGGGCAAAGTTCTCGCCTGTGTGCGGTTGATGTTCGAATAATTAGGCTTTACCGGGAGGGTAACAGTAGCTTATCCAGTGCCGTTGCCTTTTCCTGGATGTCCTTAGATAGGTACACATTACCAACAGGCCAAACGCCCAACCTAGCACACAGTTGCGAAATGATACTAGAGTACTTATGGAATAACTTCAGATAAATTTGAGCAACATATTCTTTCTCTAAGGTAATTGGGGATGATTCTGGGACAGTTAAGTTATTCCAGACTGGTTCACAAGTCGCACCCTGTTACCCAGAGCTCGGTCCAATACTGGTTTAAGGTAGATGGCACTAAAAGGTTAAAATCCTTTTGATACCTACTAGACATATTTGGCCTATTGTTATTTACGTCAAGTATTCATGAATTCACCGGCATCCTGACAAGATGCCCCACCCACGAAAGCTTTGCGAGGAGTGAGACTGTATGGTGCCCGCTGAAGTTGTGTGGAGAGGGCCCTGTCAAGAATACTCCTCCTTCATGAAATCCGTGAGTTCAGATGCATCGGTGGGGGATTTTGAAATATACAAGAAATTATGACTGCCTGCAATTTGCTAAGCTACTAGGTACACATATAATACTCAATGTGTATGTTCCTTGTTTGGGTGCATATCCAAGGGGTCTGCGGTTCATTTTTGGCTGTAACTTTTGATGCTCAATTCATATAGTGGAACATTACGGGACTACAGTGGAGAATCGAAATGTGACCAAGCAAGAATTCAAGACGTTGTAGCCGCCTTATGAAAAAGGGGGCTCGGAAATTACGATTACAATATTAGGAAACACAAATAGCGATAAGTACTGCAGGCTTTTGCCACTTTCCAAGCCGAAAAGGTATTGTCCTGAATTTCACCCCTTTATCCATCATGCAATGATCCTCAGCTAATCCCACAACAGTCAGATTCTCAGAATTCCTCCCAAGTACAAAATAGTTTAACAAAGAATAATCCTAGTTTTAATTATATATATTATATATTATAAATAACCAAATGCTCTCTCTCGTTGGAAGGCACGAGAATGAAAATGGATTATGCTTCTAGTGAGTGTTGCACGACCACAAATTTTAGAAGGCTAGCTCAAAAAGGCTTTCTGAAGCAACCTACATGCTCTAGAAGCGGGTCATCTATAAATTAGGTAACAGCGATTCGACAGAGGCATTCCGTCATGCGTCAGTCAAATTCAGCCTCGCTAATCCCTAGGTAGTACATATCTATGATTGGATCTTCTCATTCACGTGATCACTGTCATGCCCCTTAAGATCTACTCAGCAGTCTGGTTATGCTCGTGTACATTTGCAATTCATCAAGCTGGCTTAAAAAGGGAGACCAGTTATAAGCTTCCGGAGTTGGGTGAGTCAATTATAGCACTTCAATATTACCACAGATGGTAATTTACATGTGGTACAATATATCTGGGAAGCGAAGGGATTTTACAGATATATGCACGATCCATGGCCCCACAGGTAATATAAGTATTTGTCTCAAACGAGCGGGGAACATGAAAGCGGGGATGTGGGAGCTTTACTGTACACGGGTACACGGGAAAGAGATTGCTAGCCTGGGCTGAGATCGTCCAGTGGCCAGTGAGGGTTGTTTCCATACAAATTCCTCGGTAAGCTTCGACTGGCTGCCACCACGCTAGCAATCTCTTTCCCCTGCGGCCGTGTCGTAACACATCAATGAGTAATGTCGCTTAGGCTCGTGACACATTTGTGTTCTAACCTTCCCCGCCACATATATGCTGATGAAGATTCTTTGAATGCGAGCTTGTTTCCTGGCAGTTCTGATACTTAAGGAGTTGTAACAAAGATAATTCTCGAAGGAGAAAGGCTGAGAATAATATTTCTCCCCGAGGGGTTAATCATGACAATGCGCCATTGTTTTTTTGTGTCGCAAGAGCAGCCAGATGCTTTTGATGTCGTCGGCTATGGTACGGCTGGATAGTCTGTACGCATAGCCTGAGGCGTACAGTAAATGGTGAAGCAGTATTTGATTCCTCAGCTCTCGTGTAACGTTAATCCCATCGTACTTATAGTTCCTTATTAACCATGGAATCCTTACTTAGTACGCAGCCGTTATCCCTGTCTCTGTCACACAGATTAGGAGGTTTAGACATCGTATTAAAGCACAAAGAGTCTGTAGATGCGGTCAAACTAAGCTTTTATATATGTATATGTGTTTGGTTAAAATACTGGGAGCTTTTACGGAGTAGTATTGTGCAAAATCTGAAGGACCAGGCTATTGAGCTATTCTGTTATGCTATAAATAACTGTACCAATGGATTGGGTGGAACGGCACCCCAGATTCAGACTAGCCCCAAATTTTATTGGAGAGGGTCAGCTTGCAGCTGGCGGGCCACGTCCCCCCCTGATCTTATTCTTAAGAATCCCATCCCCACGTAATTCTGGCATCATAAGTAAAACTAAAATTCAAAAGATATATACCCGCCTGCAGGCTACAATCATGCGTTCAGCAACTCTTCCTACAGTTCTTCTCCTTCTCATTTCGACACTGTTGCTACAAACATGGGGGGCTCAAGAGTTCGTGAACGTTCTGGCGAAGTTGGATCCGGATAGTCCCGAATACGCAAAATGCATGAATTACGAGTGTGCCCCTTACCTGAATATCACCTCGCGGTGTGAAAGACTGAAATCGGATGGAAACTACACGGTAGATCCGGTGGTTGCCGAGCAGAATTTTCTCCGATGCGCATGCCCTTCACCACAATACTTACCAGGGCTGCAGACGTATGTTTCCATATGGTACAATCATGTGTTGACGACTTTGCTAATGATATTTTTACAGGTGTGAAGCATGTACCGGTGGAAGCACGTACTCAGCGAAAAAGAAGGAATGTGATGCTAGGGATGGCGCGACAATTACAACCGCCACCACTACGACAAGCGCCCCAACAGAAACAGCTACAAAGTCTCCTATTCCCGAAAAGACATCGGGTGCGAGGGTGGTATCAATATTGGGGTTGTGGACTGGCGATGCAGGATATGTGCTTACTGGGTCTTTGTTTGGCATTGCAGCGGTATTGGCAGGAATATTGTAGTTCAAGGAATGGAGGATGGCTCTCCCATGATTTCGTGGAGGAATTGGGGTAACTTTAAGAGGTAGAGACATATGTATGATGGTTCTGTGTATGGGCATTTCCCGGGGTTATAATAATTTTTCGGTGAATTCTAATTTCTATATGTTGTACGTTACATTTGAATGTGGAGGTCATCCACCAAAGGTAACGGGGCGGTACTCGTTTTCTTAGTTAATATCGACCTTTTTATGCAGATCATTAGGATGTTCATCGCAATTATTTATGTCAAAGCTTCTATTAATCTTTGAGAATATAACGTTGTCACGATAAGCTGCAGAGACCTATAAGGACATATGTAAATGAAAGCCAACCCCATGACACCTCTACTTCAATCCCCGACATAGGTATAACTTACCCGAATGAAATTCAACCATGTCACATCGACATCTCACCTCGAGTACATATATCAGTTGTTTTCGCGAATCTCTATATGCGCATAGACGTGGGAAGGTCACGGGAGCCCACGACCCAAGCATGGTGACTCTCTTCTTTTTACTGTAGGTACAGTAGTAATCTTTCAGTTTCAAGCTGATAGAATGAACCTAATGTTTACTATGTACA